GTTTGGTATATAGAATTTATATGTATTCATGCTATATGAATAAAATGTTGCCGTTGAGAGTAAAGAATTGTGAATTGTAACGAGTTGAGGTTCGTGATGTTGGTAAATGGTTTCTTGGTTTAAAAAAAAAAAAAAGATAGAGAAGGGGTGCTTCTGTCAGTTTTGAAAGTATGTTTTAAAACTTGCATTCTACCCCCATTTTGCATGGAATTTCATACGTTTTGGCATGATTTGCTTTTATAGAAATGTGGTATAATCTTATGATTAGTGTCAGACATATGCTATGGTAATGTGATGTTAAAAGTAATTTTTAATCTGGGTTTAAACTTCAGTTTTGAAACATGTTTGGAAATTTCCAAATTCACCCTTGGATGTGATTTTTGAATATATGATATATGTATGATTTATAAGCACATAAGTAATATACTCTTGACTTACATGTTACTTGAGATTATGCATGAGTATGTTGGGTGCTAAAACCACCCTACGAAGTACCCATCCCCAGAGATACAAGATTTTTGGTTCTGCCCGAGCGATGCAGGATTCCGTCGAGTATGACAATTCCAAATTTTGGCTCGCGCATGCGTATTGAGATATTTAGTGCTCTGCCTAGGCGTTGAGCTTGTTGCCAGGTATTGAGATGGTTTCTTTTGACTCTGCCGCGCGATGATAGATCTTGCCGGGTATTGAGATGTATTTCCCAGCTCTGCCTGTGTGTGGGATGCCCACCAGGTATCGAGATTTTTTCAAAAGTGATGTCTATAGTTATGGAGTAGTTTTTGTTGAACTTTTGACGGGGCAAAAGCCGATATCTTCCGCAAGGTCAGAAGAATTCAAAGGTTTAGTAGCATATTTCTTTCATTGTATGGAGGAGAATCATCTTTATGACATTGTTGATGCTCAAGTACTTGATGCTCAAGTACTAAAGTTAGGCAGGAAAGAGGAGATCATGTGTATGGCTAATCTCGCGAAAAGGTGCTTAAATATGAATGCAAAGAGAAGGCCTACAATCAAAGAAGTAGCAACGGATTTGGAAAGAATTCGGTCTTCAACAGGTAATATTCCGCTGAATTTTCAAGAGGATGAGTATGAAAGAGACGAAGTGTTAGATGCTTGGGATGTTGATTCTACTTCAACAAGTACTACTGACAATATAAGTCTATCGATAGACATCCAACCACTGTTAACCAAGCGGTCATTATGGAAAAAAATATAAATTGCAGTACCTATTCATTCATGCTATTGTATTTAGAAAACTCCTTTAATTAGTCACTTAGGATTTAAGATTTTTCTTATAGTCGCTTAAGAACATTGGTAGAAATATTCAAGAGGATAATGACATAGAGATTGTAATTGAACTTTGTCATCTTGTTTCTATTGGAATTGATATATTCTACTGTTGACAGCACTGATTAATTCCTCCAGCACCATATGTTGATTTACTATTAAATAACAGTACTACCATGAATGTATATAAAAGCTCTTGAAGATTAGCAGTTTTCTACTGATACGTACTGAAAAGAAATGTCAGTGAGCACAGTTACTAAGCTACTCAACTTAATGTAATTTTTACACATTTTTCATTTGCTTAATAAAGTTTGCTTTGTTATCATGCTGTTAGAGCTATTTTTTACAAACGTCAGTTAAAAGCTCAGTTTCTTTTATTTTCTCAGCAACAAACACTGTTTCCATCAGTTTTCTTGCACTTTCTCTCCTGCCAAAAAACTACGTCTCAAGTTTTTGTTTCGAAATGACTTCTGAACAATATTCTTCGTCTAAAATGACGGGTGATTCATATGAAAATACTGTTTTGTCATCCTCACTTTCACATTATCTAGCTTATCAATCATTTCTCCTAAATTGACAATAGAGAACTACAATTTCTGGCAATCTCAAGTTTTGTTTACTGTTGGGAGAAAATGGGTGCATTGTGAAATGGCCAACCCAAAAGTGTTATTAGCACACAGTGCAATTGGAGGATTCTGGAGCCACTATGGTTGGAATTCGGTCCTGGAAAGTATATGTGAAGGGGCTCCAATGATTTATAGACCATGTTCTGGAGATCAAAGGGTGAATGCAAGGCATGTAGTCATGTATCGAGAATAGGCTTGGAATTGGGTAACAAATAGGACAGGGAAGAGATAAAGAAAACTTTAAGAAGGCAAATGGTAGGCAAAGAAGGGGAAGAGATGAGGCAGAGAGTGAAAAGTTTTAAAGAACACATAGAACTTAGTATATATCCCAAAGGGTGGTTCTTCCTACAATTCAATGAATGAGCTTTTAGACTTCCTCAACTCATAAAAATTACACAGAAAGTTTCTGGGAGTGGTAGATTACACGTTCTTCTCAGACTTCAGTTTTTCCGGTAATAGTGAATTTGAATACTTTCAGTTGAATAAGTCATTTAATAGTTTCACCATATTTTATCTGTATCCCCATCTCCGTGTATAATTTATTATCAGAAAATACTGAAGACACAAAATATGCCAGCCTGCTAATGTGGGCGGTTTACTCTTGTTTGCCTTTTTGCGTTGTCCTTGCTGCTTGAAAGGCTGTAATCTTTTCTTTTGTTTGATATGGTTGTAGTTTATAATATTTGCTACATATGTATGCCAAGGTTTTCTTTCTCTGGTGAGAAAGCCATGTGTACTATTCCATGGAAGTTGATATTAGAATTTTTACGTATACAATTGGAGATTAGTGGAAGATGAAGAAGAATGATGATGAAGTAAACCAACTTGATTCCACTACAATCTAATAGCTCAAATCAAGAAAAATCCAGCTCTTTTTGGCTTATTCCTTATTGATTTCTAATTCTATATAAACCGTAGAGCTACAACTCATTTCTTGCTCAAAACTTCACCTTTAAAACAACTTAGGATTAACGGCTAAGCGCTACATGTTTTTTCTCTCTTTGTTATTAACTCTTGCAGGAGCATTGATGCAAGGAAGCCATGCAGATGCAGTCAGCTACGTTCTCAACAACACCGCCACCACAACCACCGGCAGCGTCCGCTTCAACTTCGAAATCGTAGAGAACTACACCAAGCAAACACTAGCATGCATCCGCCACAGATTTTATCTGGACAATCTTCCAACAATACAACGCAACTGACAGGAAGAATGTAACCAACGCCACCTTATTTGTCGACAGCATGGACGGAGTTGCATATGCCATCGACAATGAAATTCATGTCAACGTGGATTATATCGGAAACTATTCTGGAGATATGAAAAGAGAGATCACCGGGGTACTTTATCATGAAATGACACATATATGGCAGTGGCATGGAAACGGAGAGGCTCCTGGAGGACTGATCGAAGGGATTGCAGATTTTCTGAGGTTAAAAGCCAACTACGCGCCGAGTCATTGGGTGCAGCCTGGCCAGGGTGAGAGGTGGGATGAAGGGTATGATGTTACAGCCAAGTTTCTAGACTACCTTAATGGCCTGAGAAATGGTGTTGTTGCAGAACTTAACAGGAAAATGAGAAGTGAGTACAGTGACAACTTCTTCACTGAGTTGATGGGGAAGACAGTTGATCAGCTATGGCTTCAGTACAAAGCTTAATATAATGGAACTGGTTAAGTCATCTAATTATGCAAAAAACGTATTGGAAAGAATTCGGTCTTCAACAGGTAATATTCCGCTGAATTTTCAAGAGGATGGAGTATGAAAGAGACGAAGTGTTAGATGCTTGGGATGTTGATTCTATCTACTTCAACAAGTACTACTGACAATATAAGTCCTATCGATAGACATCCAACCACTGTTACCAAGCGGTCATTATGGAAAAAAATATAAATTGCAGTACCTATTCATTCATGTTATGTATTTAGAAAACTCCTTCAATTAGTCACTTAGGTATTAAGATTTTTTCTATAGTCGCTTAAGAACATTGGTAGAAAATATCAAGAGGATATGACAAAAATTGTAATTGAGAACTTTGTGATCTTGTTTCTATTGAATTGATATATCTATTGTTGACAGCACTGATTAATTCCTCCGCACCATATGTTGATTTCTATTAAATAACAGTACTACCATGAATGTATATAAAAGCTTTTGAAGATTATAGCAGTTTTCTACTGATACGTACTGAAAAGAATGTCAGTGAGCACGTTACTAAGCACTCAACTTAACGTAATTTTTACACATTTTCATTTGCTTATAGTTTGCTTTTTATCATGCTGTTAGAGCTATTTTTTACAAACGTCAGTTAAAAGCTCAATTTCTTTTATTTTCTCAGCTACAAACACTGTTTCCATCAGTTTTCTTGCACTTTCTCTCCTGCCAAAAACTACGTCTCAAGTTTTTGTTTCGAAATACTTCTGACAATATTCTTCGTCTAAAATGACGGGTGATTCATATGAAAATACTGTTTGTCATCCTCACTTTCACATTATCTAGCTTATCAACATTTCTCCTAAATTGACAATAGAGAACTACAATTTTGGCAATCTCAAGTTTGTTTACTGTTGGGAGAAAATGGGTGCATTGTGAATGGCCAACCCAAAGTGTTTAGACACCAGTGCAATTGGTGTTGAGAAGGAAGGTCAATGGCATTCATTGACAAATATATTATATTAATTGTATTTATTTAATTGCCTTTTATACTTAGACTACCTAGAATAGATTAGCATGATTGTAGGACAATTGTTTTTTTTGTCTTTTATATTTAGACTACCTAGAATAGACTAGCATGATTGTAGGAAACTTTTGTATAAAGCTACGCCTCCTTATTCAAAAATACAATTCAAAAGGCATATATTTTCTCATATTTTCTGGTAAGAGCAGGGCACGATACCCAGCTCTGCGCATTTGTCTTCTTTCTTTGCCTTCTTTTATCACTGTTTTCTCTGCATCTGCTCCCTTTCTTTGCTTCCTTTTATCGCTGTTTCTCTTTATCATGTCTGAACAGCAACCTTCGAATGGAGGGCAAGAAGTGCCATCAGTGACAAATGGGCTCTCTGATTTGCAAATCCGCAAATCTTATCTATC